TAGTTTGAAAACATTTAAACACACCTCTGCTAACAACTCTCCTAACTTTTCCTAAACAAAATCCTCATTTCTGTTTTGAAAGCAAAACATACACGCATTGCCCTTCACAAAAGGAGGCTCACCAAACAATTTTCACCACATGTTTAAATGGTAAGATTGCTGAAGAACTGGTTTGATTCTGTATTCCCAGATGGAGGATTATTATTCCAATCTTCTTGATTTCATGTGTCAGCTACACGTAGGAAGTGCTAAATGGACTACCCAGAGGAATCCCTAGTTGCCAAGTGTGAAGTTTATTGATTACTTTCATAAATGAAGCATTCAGGAAAATATCCAGTGACTCAGTGTGTTGCTGAGTAGCTGCAACTTAGTCACTCAACTTAACTACTGTTACCTGTGATTTTCAATGGAACCTTCTTGGTTTTATGTGGACTATGATTGTAACAAACTACTTTTGCATTGTGGCTCTAGTCTCCCTGGTTCACACCCTCTCTCTTTCTCTCTCTATCACAGTCTATTTCTGCTATCTCTGCTCTATCGATCATTGATATTCTTGGTTTTCCTATCTTGCCTCTCCCAAGCTTCAAATGTGTTATCCTATATTCTCTTCCTCTATCCTGCATCATACTTGTAGGCATTCACTTACAAAATACACAGTCACTACACTTTACAGTGTATCCTGTGAAGCACTTTGAGATGTCCTGCTGCTGCGAAAGGTGCTATACCAAATCCAAGATGTGTTGTTATTATCATTTACTTGTGTTGAAATTAACAATCATTGCACTTTCATCTGTTCTTAACATGTTCTTTCCTTTGACATTAAGACAGTGAAACTCCTTGCTTCCCTCAGTTTTCCCTTCCTTCAACTATTCAAAATCTAGGCTTCACCTAACCACTTTTTCTCTCCTGATGCAACTAGCTGAAGCACTACCCTATGGGCACTAGCTCAAAGATTCTCAGGAAACCAACCTGCCATTGGAGATAAGCATTCACATCAGCTCTGATTCTGATCATTTAAAATTCAAATGGTCCATAGCCTAAGCGAAAGTGAACACTGTAGATATTGATAGACACTTGGGGAGTCTCTCTAGCTCACCAGGTGAATGCATGCTAACAGATGGAAAGCTCCCTGTCAGGCAAATACTTATCACAGACGGATGCCACCAGGGTAAGGAAATCTCATATTAATTACATTTTGTCAGATCCCAAAGGAAACAGATGCTTGGACGAACAGACCCACAGTAGCACCACAGGACTCAGATGGGTTGTAAGAATATCATTGCCAGTAAGAAAAGTAAGGAATGCAAATAACCAGCTAATCTGGAAAGATTGATATGCTTCCATAGGTTTCACAGAACTAATACATTACAGTACAATACTGGAGGATGCACACTTTAAGTATATTAAAAATACAATTTATATTTTTCTTTTCAATAAATCTAAACAATTACAATACACAATAAAAAATTGTATATATATAGTGTCTTTCATGTTGAAATACCTCTAAATGAATGATAATGATATAATTCCAGAAATCTGCATTTCTCCATTAATTAAAATATTGCTTACTATTGTTTTCCACAACTATTGTTCATCCACAAGATGTCCACAAAACGTCCACAGTCACTCAACTTTACTCCACTCCATGCTAACACCACCTTCTTGCCCGATATATAATGCATGGAGCCACTGACATTATATATAGTGTACATTATAAGCTAACGGCCTGTTATGCTAAAGTGGAAAGGAGACCACGAAAGCCTTCATTTGTGTCACTATATGTTTGTGAATGCTGGGTGGGCACAGGATTGGGCTTGGCTGTAAAGCCAAATATCCTGTTACAGCTCACCATTAAAGAGCAGACATGCATGCTGGCAGGTGAGGTCCCTTCTCCCTGTTGAAAGGGAGGGGAAAGTAGTCAAAGTGCCTTTGTAGGCGAGTAGGTGAGAGGGAGAAAAGTTGGCAAAAAAAAACTGTACAGTTGGAGGAAATATTAATAATCCTTGCATTTGACACAGTACCTTATCACGCCGTTGAGACAGCTCAAAGCGCTTTATTGGATTTACTGTAAAGTGATGTGATTGTGTGGACATGGGTGAAATAATGTATGAATAAGAAAAGATTATTCAGGCTATTGAGTCTGCTCCTCAAAAACAGACCATATTCAAATTGTGCTGACCTGATTGATTGATTGATTGATTGATTGATTGATTTAATTCTGATTGATTCAATCACCTGGCAGAGGTGAACAAGTGCAGGTAAAACTTATAAGAGATGAAAGTATGAAAAATTTCCCCCTAACCTCTGCATGTAATTGAGTAAAAGCTCTTCCATACCAAACTAACTGCATATTAAACACAGGGTTAAATCATACATTTTTAAAAAAAATGTCCTTCAAGCAGACTCTCATGAATTTAGATTTCATGCAGATTCATAGGTGGAGACTTCTCATGTTTTATATCCATAACCATAGGTGAAATCATTTTGTCAAGTGAAATAGAATTATTTTTTCTTACCATGGCAGCAATGAATGTATAGCACTCTGATGTAGTTATTTATTCCCTGTAGCAGTATTACTGAAAGATCTTCTGAAAACCTAAAGTGATTTCACTGCTGAAATTGACCATTAAAAGAATTCCTTTGGGGGAGGGGGGAGGGGCAAGGAGGAGGAGAAAGTAACCCAACCAATATATTGTGTCTGGCAAGGTTTCAGAAAGGGGGGGAAAAAATGACTTTTTTTAAAAGATGTAACATTCATTTGTAAATATAATATTAAATCTTTTCCCACCCACATTCACTGTGCAATGTAATTTCCAAATACTGTATGTATTTTATTCAGAGAGCCTTCAAAATCTGCTACTTTAGAATATCTGCAGCCAAATATGTTAGGTATATATTCTTCTACATCAGGCAAACTGAAAAGTATATATACATCAGGCGAACCAGAGTGGTTTATACTAAGGAATATTGAATCATTTGAATTATTTATTATGTAATAATAAATATGTATGTAATAATAAATAATTGAAATGATTGTTGAGATGTTCCTTAGTATGCATCACTTCGGTCCTTGCAAGCATTCATTTGTCATTTCACTTCTGGTGGATATTCAATACTTACCGCAGAAGAGAGGAAGGGTGTCTCAGGATCCTTGTCCAGGGTCCTGAAGCAACAATGCCTCAGATAAATTGGTCATTCACCTTATGATTGTTTGTGTGATCTCAGTATGTGCAAAAGGGTTTCTTGGCAATAATCATGACTAGTGCTTTGAGACATTGAGTTGATAAAATTCTTTCTCCCTCCAGCCCTCCCCTGAATATGCAACTTGGGTCAAAAGTCTCAATTTTTACAAATAGATTCATTGTAAACTGGACAAGTTTGAATGTTAGCTTTGATTTAGTATTATTCCTAATAATATAATGTGATATCGAGTGTAACATTCCAATAAAATACTACAGCAGAGAAGCACCCAAGATTAATTGTTTTTTAAATACTTTGGAAAAATATATTTCTGTTGGTCTCAATGCACACATTTCATTATTTTGCTGTATTTAATAAAGGAGTTGGATGATGTATACTAAAAGGATTCCTTTACAGGAAAATTGTTGGTGTCCAAAATCCACCGAGATTCAATAAAAAAAAGGTCATAGAACCAATCCCCACCTCTCCACGGCTGTGTGTTCCTCTTTGGCCTTTTGTTTTAACATTTTTGGTGGCTTTCAGAAATTGTATTTGGCGTTTTTGTGAATATCACAAACTTCCCCATCCCCCCACCTACACCCTCACCAACACCACCACCCCCACCACCCCCTCTTGTCACTGTGCAGAATCTACAATGTTGTTAGCAATGTGATAGAAAATGAACAGAAAAGAAACAATGTTGGAAAATTGTATTATGTGCTATTGGAATTTGTATAGCTATTTTACAAATGATCATTAGCTGAATATTCTGACCCAGCAGGTACTTCGATCAGAGAGCAAATTTATATTCATTTTATTTTGTCCTTTTGTAATATATGCTGATCTGAGACTTGACTCATCCATCAATGACATGCATGTCTGCAAGATGCCCACTATGATGCGGAAATGTCATGCACTTTATGTCTACGTGGTTGTATTGTCAGGAATGATGTATGTTGTACAAAATATATTAGGGAGTAAAGAATGTTATTAAGACTTATGATGTTATCAGTGGAGCATATTGAGTGCAGATGAGAGGTAATTAACGTTAGCTATGAGTCTTGAGAATAGTTTTGTTGCGAAGGTCCACTGGAAGACACATATTATGATTGTAGTGAAATTAATTTAAAGGAAAGTGTTATAATCATTCTAAAAACAATTGCTAGTACTCAGATATATAAGTAAAATATCCAGAATATGCAGATCACTACCATTCAGATTTTATTGCTGTTCTAGCAGGGGGAGAGGGAAGGGGAGGGGGAGGGCAAGGGGGTGGCACTTCTCAATATTACTGCATATAAGTAATATGTTGTTTAATTTTTGCAAAATCTTTAAGTACTCTATAGAAATTTGGATATGTTGTAATCTGTCACAGTATTTACTTTAAAAGACTAATGTTGAGAGTCAGTGAATACTTCTTGTTATGATCTTTTGGGGTGTGCAGTACAGTGCAATTGAAACTAAAATAGGAAAACCAATATATAGATTGAGTGTCAAATGTTACTTTATGACCAAAACAATGGCATTGATGTGCTATTGTTCAGTGAATAGACCATTAATCAGCATTAGGATATTGTGCTCCATTATTTGGAAGTCCAATACCTAATTCTTAAGACGAATGGTTTGTTGATGTTAAAAAGGGTATTCGGACAGGGAATAATTGTGTTAATTATCAAAAGGTTGGTAATTTCAGCGTCAATTAACGCGTCACAATTTTCAGCCCATTTCAGAGAAAAGGTTTTACAATGCAAGAGGTTGCATTGATTTAAATGGGAGTAAGGGGAAGGTATTTTATTTTGCAAATCTTTGTCTCTTTTCAGCTCCAGAGGTTTTCCAGTCCTACTTGGAAGGAGGTCCTGGCTACTCATATCCTGTGGACTGGTGGTCACTGGGCATCACAGCTTATGAGCTGCTGCGGGGTTGGGTAAGCTTTGCAGTTCAGATCATGTCAGTTTAATGGTTCAATTGAAGGACTAATTTGGTCTTGTCCTTTCAGATTGCCAGGTTCCCTGCATGACACCACCTCACAACATCAAGCTCTTGCTTAAATAAGTCCAGTAACCTGGTCTCAACTATCTTTCCTGGTAACCTCTTCCAGCTCTTGATTACCTTATGTGTATCAAAATAATTTCCTGTGTTCAGTTCTAAATATGTCTTTCACAATCACGTACTTGTGATTTCTACTTTTTCTGTCCTATCAAGCATTGTATCAACTTCTTTTAGATCCTCTATAGACGTCTATTTTTGTGACTGAAATGCTGTTGGTTTATCTAGTTCTTCTTAGCTTACCTTTCTTATACTGGGGATCAACCTCCTAATTGGCTGCTGTGTTTTGCCCACAAAAATATACAATCAATTCGCTGTTATTCAAATCATTATTATTGCTCTCATTCAGGATTTGATGTCCGATAGACATTCTGTCAGGACAACAATGGTCCTTTAGTCGAGCATGGAGGCAGAGAGATAGAGTTGGGTGTCATCCACATTACATGTGGAAGTTGACCTCACATCTGCAGATGATGTCACCAAGAGGGAGCACGTACATGTTGAAGACGAGAGGACCAAGGACAGAGCCCTGAGGAACGTCGCATGAGACTGTGCGGGGGTTGGAGGAGAAGCCATTTGTGGAGACAAAGTGAAGCTTGCTGTGAGTGCAGCTTGCTCTGAGAGTCAGTGGAAACCTTCTGGGTTTATAGAATCATAGAATCGTACAGCACAAAAAGAGGCCATTCGGCCCATTGAGTCTGTGCCGGCTCTTTGAGAAGAGCAATGCAATGTCAGTCCCACTCCCCAGCCCTTTCCCCATAACCCTGCAAACCCGTTCTCCTCAAATACCCGTCCACCGCGTTTTTAAAAGGTTGCATGGCCTCTTTTGGCCTATATATTTCTATCTATGTGAATGAAGCTTCTGTTACTTGAGCTCATGGGCTATATATCAAATTGCTGGCTCTTTCTTTCCGCTCCATGTGGTTGTGTTTTTTTTGGCTGTTTGGTTTTCCATTACTCTCCCTGGATGATGAATGCCACAAAAAACATTTGTGGATTCTACTTTTCAGAAGCCAATTTCATGCTGGGTTTGTTTGTTTTTTCATTCTGGATGCTCGTGAATCATTTGTTAATTTGCCATGTTCACTTTGCGAACAAAGTCATTTCTGTGCATATGCACTCAGCTTCCTTGTACTATTTCAACTCTATTGCTTCTATCCATGGTTTCATACGAGTCTTTAGTTCATTTACACACGTTTCATTGAATATTTAAACATTGTTATTTTGTTACTTATATCTTTGTTGCTTACTCATATCTTAGCCTGCAGAAAATATGAATAGAGGGTAGAAACTTTTATCTAGGAACCTGAGGATTCGTGCTATGCACTGAGTTTCATTCGTAAGCTATGGCAACAGTCCTTCAAACAGTCCAAATGTCAGAATTTTTTATTAAAATGTTAAGGTGAGAAAGAAAAGTTTAGACTGCAAACGCTGGAGATGAACATGTGAGCCGTGTGATTCACGGAGTTTTTCTTACTGATGCCACAGAGTAATCAGCACCAATCCACATCTATACTTTCATCGTTATTGTCAATTGACTTCACTGCACAGAAGTCAGTTTACAAGCAATGGTTTGTTTTAATTTAATTCCATGGAAACACCAGTACTGCTCTGGCAACGTTTTCAATTACTGTCAATAAAATATCTCAAAGCACCTTGTGTACAACAGATGTGGTTTCCAAAGATATAATGAATCTCTGGACAGGATATAATTTGCAACCAAGACTAAATATTACCAGAATGCAAGGTCTATCATTACCTCCCATCAACAGAAAACCAGAAATTACCAATTAACATTGGAACCACCTGACATGTCCAATCCTAGTTATGCTCTATTAATTCCTCCAGGATAAAGGCAACACTACTTTGTGATGAAATCAAGCAATTGTACCAGATACAGTTCAATGTCGGAAAGTATGGTAATTCTATGTCAGTTTCTAAATCTACGTAATTTTTAAAGAGCCAACGATGTACAGCTTATTCATCATTGACATCTTAGGTAGAGTGTAATATCACCAGAATATATTCATGCTGTCCTATGTCCTAATCACTTAGCTGGTAGATTTCTTGCTCATGGTGTGGCAAGAAAATCCCACGTCTGAGTTACATTAACTGCCTTTACATCTACAATCAGTCTCAGCTCAACATACCTGGGCTTGCCTGACCATCCATGAAAACAACAACAACAACAATATTACATTTGTATAGCGCCTTTCACATTGGGAGGACGTCCCAAGGCGCTGATCTCAGCACAAACATCTCAGTACAAACATTGGTTAGCTCGATAGGTAAGCACACAACTACGTTTAGGCAGCATAGTGAGTTGGAGTATGAGCATGTGGATTGATGTCCATGATGGTAGCAATCTGAACAGGATCGTTGGGGAGAAGCACAAAGCAGAGACAATATCACTTGTCAGAGAGTCACAGGGAAACCTACAGGGAGATTTATCCATAAACAGTTTAACTATACCCTTATAATCAGCAAGTGATTCTGAGTGACATTGACAAAAGTCTGAACTCACATCATTTTAGTAACAGGAGAAAGTCCTTTGGTCCATCAAGCCCAATCTGCACATAGATCATTTCACATCATGGTGTGCTATCACCTCCGTTTAACCCACTTCCTTGCCTTTTCATCATATAATAATAAATAATAATAATCCTTGCATTTGATATAGTGCCTTATCACGTCGTGGAGACACCTCAAAGCGCTTCACAGAATATACTGTTAAGTGAATTGACTATTTTGTGGGTAAAACGATCATATCCTTTAATATATCTACTTCCCAAATATTTATCATTGGCTCAAGCATAAGGTTGAGTGCCATGCATACATACCTTGACTTCTGTTTTTTGATAGATATTACATTTTATATTTCACGTTCTCTCCCGCACCAGCCTCCGTGACCCTATCACACTCATCTTCGCCCGACTCCACTGGCTTCCTATCGCACAGAGGATGCAGTTCAAGATCCTGGTCCTCACCTTCAAAGCCCTCCATGGTCTAGCTCCCTCCTACCTCTGTGACTGCCTAATTCCGCTTCAAATCTACCCGCTTCTCCGCTCAGCAGGCTCCGGTTTGCTTCACTTCCCCTGACTCGCTCACCCCACCATTGTGGGCCTCTGCCACACTGCCACCACCCTCTGGAACTCCATCCTACAGTCCCTCCGCCTCGCCCCCTCCCTTACCTCCTTCACGACCCATCTCAAGACCCTCCTCTTCGACCGTGCCTTCAGCCACGCTCCATCCTCCCCTGCCATCCACCCTCCCCTATCATGATCCCAAGCTCGGGTCCAAAACACTGATTGTCCAGCACCTTGGGATGTCCTGCCCACATGAAAGGCACTATACAAATGTAATTTTATTGTTGTTGTTTTCCTCAATGCATTTGTGCCTCCCTTGGCCCAGCAGAATGTTGCCACACATCTAGACACCAGAAGCATTGATAAATTCTCCTAAGTTGCAGACTGAGCTTGAGTATTCCTTTTTGCCTGCAACCTTTGAGCAGAAAGGCACATTAAGTTGTTCACAGTTAGAATATCATTTTCAGGATGGTTACAGTACCTGTATTTATTGTGTCCATCCAGTTTCTGGTCAGAATCAAACAGTCTCTTCCTTTTACTGCATCGCTTTCTCTCAGTTCTTTTACCATAATTTTGGAAAGTTGAAATCCAATAGAATATTAGTGGTTAAATAACTGTGTCCAATATCAAATAATTGTTTGAATCCTTCCCTCTGATTGTGCAGTGTTGTAGGAAGAGCTGGGAGCCCAGCTTGGCTCTCACTCTCATTGACAATGCAGAGGATGAAGACAAAATAAATACATTTAAAAATAAAGATGAATGAATTATCCAGAGAGTATAAATTGACAGGCTCTTTGTTAGCGTTGACTGTGAACACGTTCTGTTCTTGTGCTGGTTTCAAGGTTCAGCTGTTGCATGACTCACCTGTTTTTAACATGCCTTGAGCTGAGGCACTGACACATAAAAAATACCTGCAGGAAACTGATGATTTTATTGGTAAAGCCAGTGCTTAGAGTGAAGTCAGTGGAAGCCGGAGGGTCTCCAAGGCACTGCCAATAACAGAATAGCCAGCTGAAGTCCCCGAGTCACTTCACTTTACAGTATATCCTGTGAAGGGCTTTGGGACATCCTTCTGATATGAAAGGCGCTATACCAAATAAAAAGATTATTATGATGTTATCACAGTTTAAATCACTTCGTAGAGGCAGTTTCCAGGGGTTTTTCATGATGGGTCGGTCAGACCAATATCACTGCCACATTACATAGGAAGGGATATTAATTTTCTTAGTATGTTTTATTGAGGCCAGGAGAGTAGATTCATTTAAAAAGCAGCTTGATACAGTGCTGGGAGTGTTCTGGAAGGATGTGAACAGATGAGAACGAAGGGCCTTCTTCATCCAAATCAATCTTGTGATCTTGTTACAAGCTCTGGTTCAGTTGTTGTGTAATCTTTATTTCCATGCAGATTAAGCTGGTGTTGAGGTAACTTAAATAAAATTTTCGTGTAAATGTTTGAACAAGGTTAGAAGTTAAACACATAGCACTTTAAGCAAACTTATTGTTGGACATTAATGATCAGCAATCTTGTAGTTTTAAATCAGATCATTGATAATTACTGATTAATGTAATTGAATGCTTTTGAATTAAAAATACAAACTGGAGAGTGCATAAATTGTGCATCATCTCTATTTGTTATTGTGATAAAAGCAGATAAATCCATCTTTAGAAATTGCAAGAATTTTGTCACAAAGACCTTTGTTATTTATTAAATGTACGAGGGAAGAATTTCAATGACTTTGCTCTGTTTCATCTTACAGAGACCTTATGACATACACTCCAACACTGCAGTGGAAGAAATACTTCTCATGTTCAGAGCTGAAAAAGTACATTGTTCCTCCACCTGGTCAAAAGGCATGGTGGAACTAATAAAGATGGTAAAGAATTGAGCGAAAGGTGCAAACTGTATGCACACACTTTTAGTTAATTAAATCAATATGTGCCATGCTCCAGTGTGACACAACACACTATCTCACTCCTGTGTGAAACATACTGTGTCCAGGCATATTCCTGGAGTGTAATTTGTGATATTTCTTAACAAGATTCCATTAAATGTTCATGCAACTCCATGCCATGACCCGCTCTGTCTTCCCCCACCTCCGCAACATCGCCCGGCTCCAACACTGTCTCTCACTGCAGGCCGCCGAAATCCTCATACACGCTTTCATTACATCGAGGATCGACTATGCAAACTCATTGCTTGTCGGCATCCCCAACTCCTCCCTCCACAGCCTGCAGATCATCCAGAACTCTGCAGCCTGTGTCTTCTCCCGCACTAGGCTCCGCGATCCTAACACACCCATCCTCGCCTGACTCCACTGGCTTCCCATCAAACAGAGGATACAGTTCAAGATCCTGATCCTCACCTTCAAAGCACTCCACGGTCTTCCTCCGTCCTACCTCTGCGACCTCCTAACCCCCTATCATCCTGCTCACTCCCTCCGTTCTTTTGACATGAAAGGCGCTGCACAAATGTAATTTTATTGTTGTTGTTATGATTTATATTGCAGATTGGAATTCCATTGAATCACAAGGAATCTTACTGTCATAAATTAGACCTTCTTGTTAGCACAGAAACTGAGTTTCCTTCAGTTTTATTACAATCTGATGATTTCAATGTGTGTGTGTGTGTAGGAGGGGGAGGTCCCAATCTCCAAGACTCTATTTTCCTTGTTTTACCTGATCAATTTGGTGTCTGTGTGGGGAGGCGGTTTCTGAAAAGGAGTGGGGTGGTATCTGCATCCAATCTCTGATGCTCTGTTGTGAATTGACACTGTGTGGCAGCATAAAGCCAAATTCTTAAGAAAATGTTGTTTTCATTCTTAAGAAATATTGCATTTCATAGACCCTCTCTGAGTGTATTCTGACTGGCAAGTGTAGAGGGAATATGTTAAAGTCATTATTGAGCAATAGTTTGACTACTATTTAATAACTCAATATCAAATTCCTATCGTATATTTACTTAGGCAGAATTAAATCACAATTTTAATTGTGTAATTTGCATTACAAAGATTTGGCGACAAATTTGTTTTATTTTGACGCCTCTGAAAGAACCAAATAATAAATGGAGTTGTTTGTTTCACTGCAGCTTCTTGTGAAGGAGCCTGATTGCCGTCTGTCAAGTCTCAAAGACGTCCAAAATTCTCCGTACTTAGCCAATGTGAATTGGGATGCTGTTCTGGAAAAGATTGTCCCACCTGGCTTTGTTCCAAATGTGAGTTAACAGCTAAAGACTAAAATATAACTTTAACTGAATACTGCAGTATGATTTATTTTAACTGCAAGTTTTATTGCTGACTGTTGTACCTTAGTAAATTGATAAATATTCATACTCCAAGGCAATGAATTTTTAAAACCTTGAATTATCCATACAAATGTATGGAAGTACATGATAATGGATGGATAACGAGTCTAGCAGATGAATTAACAGATAAACCAATTTAGCTGACAGCTGTATTGGTTACCTGGCCATTCTACCACAATCCCAGCATCATGTAATAAAAAATCCTTCTGTTATTCTCCCTTAAAGGCACTGACTCATGCTGACAAAGTGCCAGATACCTTCAAGTAACCCACAAAATTAACCATTCATCATGTCTGAGCCTAGACAGTGAGTGAGTATCAGTAGACTCGCCAATGATGACCTAGCATGATCCTGTCATCATTGAACATCTACATCACCACACTTTAGAGACGGAATCAGAACTGATTGCTCTGAAACTACTGACAGCAGCCAGAGCCAGATTCCACTCACTGTTCCCAAACAATATCTGACGCAGTAATTCTTCCAAATCTGTTCCATCCATATTCACACTTTGAATAAAACTATTTTGATCCATCATTGAAAACAACAGAGGGGAATGTTCTGCAATTGGCTTTTTTGAAAGAACTGATGATGACACTTGCTTGCTAAGTTTTGTCTCTTTTTAAACAGAAGGGAAGACTGAACTGTGATCCTACATTTGAACTAGAAGAAATGATATTGGAATCCAAGCCGCTTCACAAAAAGAAGAAACGACTGGCTAAAAACAAGTCCAAAGATATTGGTAAAGAAAGTTCTCCATTGGTAAGAAGTTCCTTTGCTGCATAGACCTTTTATCAGCAACATTCCCCTCCCTCGCCTCTCCCGTCCCTCCCATCCCTCTCCCCGTCCCTCCCACCCCCTCCCTCCCTCACACTCCCCTGCCTTCCACCCCTGCCTCTCTCCCTCTCTTCCTCACTCTCTTCCTCCAACCCCAAGTTTCTAGCCTCAGCTCAGCATCTCCACAGAGCATTGTGATTCAGATCACAAACTTGGAAACATGATGAAAATCGCACCGATGTCATAGCATACTAAGCAATTTATTTCATCAAAAAAATCAGTTTAGTTCCTTTATGAAAGATTCTACAGAGCCAGTGTAGATAATTTTTCTTAGGATGAAAATAGTCTGCTTTTTTGTAAATTAATAACATCATAGTCTTAGCTGTGAGAAAACCACCACACACTAAGGAAATAAATAGTACATTTTATTTTTTATCAATCATTAAAAATGTATGAATTATTAACAAGTTGCGGCATCAATAATTCATTTTCAAGTTTTATATGGAGGCCTGGCAGATTAATTCATGTTTCTAAATTCTTTTCACACGTACTCTCTGTTTCTTCATCCCTATGAAATGACCTGACCTAATAGAATGGACATCTACAACAATGTCTGGACACAGTGCATAAGGAGTTCATCATATTCAACAGGGAGAAGTGAGTATTCATTGGCTATCTATTTGCTCAGCTGAGTTCAGTGCACTAACTGGCACTAATGGAACATTTATTTAAACTGAGCACTTGGTGATTAAAAAATTAATAAAATTATGCATCATAATTTTGCTATCGACAGTACAGTTGGGAGCTGCTTTCAAAAAGGAAAGTGTTTCCTTACAATGAGAACATGCCTTGAAAAGAATTTAATAAGATGAGCATGAATAATACTCACAGTGAAAACTCAGTAACTGTAAAACTGAGAAGGAAACAGACAGGCAGGGATAATAATCGTGGTGGCATTTCGAGAAGGTGTCGAGCTAGTGTGTCAAAAATAAAATTATTGTTTCCTATTTTGAATAATTTGGTTAACCCTGAAGATTGCAGCAGGAAATGCCTGAAATTATTGACAGCCATAGGACCGAGAATTCCTGAGATTAGTGACAGCTCTCATGGAGAGAATTCCTGGCATTAGTGACAGCGCTCGGGGAGAGAATTCTTGTGAACAGTGATAGATAGCTCTTGGGGAGAGAATTCCCGAGATTAGTGACAGCTTTCAGGGAGAGAATTCCTGGCATTAGTGACAGCTCTCAGGGAGAGAATTCCTGGGATTAACGACAGATCCAGGACTGAGAATTCCAGGTTATCTGAGCTTGCCATTTTTGGTCTACTAACTGTAGCATCAAAACAAACATTAATATCACAGTAGGAGAAGTTGCTCTAATTATATATGAATGAGCCTTATTATCAAAATAAACTATTGAAACTGTTTTTAATCATGAATTTTTAAAACTACAGTGGAACCGGTTTAAACTGGACACATCTTAGCCGGGCGTTTTGTCCAATTTACCTGGCGTCCAAGGGTAACCAGTGTCCAGTTAAAGCGGCTTCCACTGTACTTTTACTTCTCCAATCCTTACCCCTTGTTTTCCTCTGCCCCGTATCTCCTCCTGTTGCATTTACTATTTAATATTTCCAGCTTGAGCTGTTTCTCAGAACTTATGTTTGCATTTATTTTGAATTGGTATTTTATTGTTTAAAATGGCACTTGATGTTTAATAATTCTCGTTATCGATGTATCATGTATGTTATTTAGCCTAAGACTAGCAGTGTGAATATGATGGTGGATGGCTACTAATAGTTCACTAAAACCTTCATTGGTTTATTGGGGGTCATTTTCTTGCTATTAAAATGCCAATGGTAAAACCGGTTTGGCGGGGCTTTAAATAATAAACATAATCCTTGCATTTGATATAGCGCCTTATACTATCTTTTGAGTTCTGAATGTCAGTCCAAATCAGCAGGGTCTAGGGTTAATTTAAAATCAAATTATTTTTAATAGCAGATAAGAAGATTTTAAATTGGATAACACACATAGGAAAATGATCCCCAAATTAACCCTAAAACTTTTATTGGTCTATTGCTCTCAGTGGCCATATTCTTCAGGATTCATGCTGCCACCTTTAAGATAAGTAGCATATGTGATATGGAGCGTGAAAATTATTAAAGGTTGAGTGCCATTTTGAGGAATAAAATTAAAAATAATGGGTGTATGACCTCTGAGCTGGAGCTGGGTAAGAGGAAGTGCATTGAACGAGGACCACATGCAGTCTATATGATTAAGTGTAAGCGAAGGTAAGTTTTTTAGGTGGAGGAATTATTGGACAAGGAATATTTTACTGTGTATTTTATACAAGCATTACAGAATTCTTGTGCTCCAAATGTAGTTGCTGGGTTGAAACTGAAAATATCTGTAAATCCAGCCCAAACCTTCGAAATTTGTGCCACACTAAAAATGTGACAGCCTGGCCTAGTTGACAACTCTCTCACCTTTGAGTCAGAAGGTTGTGGGATCAACAACAACTTGCATTTATATAGAGCACCTCAGGGTAGCGTTCCAGAGCGCTTGACAGTGGCGGAGCACAGCGCCAAACTGGAGGGAGGTAAGTGTAGGCACAGTTGAAGTGGAAGTCCTTCAGGCATGGCCTAAAGATGGGGAAGGAAGGGCAAGGCAGAGGGAGAGAGGAAGAGTGTTCCAGAGTTTCGGGGCATAGTAGCTAAAAGCACGGCCACCAATGGTGGTCACGGGGGACATGCAGGAGGCCGGAGTGGAGGCAGCGGTTAGTGGGTTGGGGAGTAACCAGGTTGGAGAGGTAGGGAGGTGCCAGGGGATGAAGTGATTTAAAAATGAATCTGAGGATCTTGAAATCGATCCATTTGCCGATAAGGAGCCAGTGGAGCCTAGGTAGGAATGATGTGATGGGGGTACGGAGTTGAGTGTGGGTGAGTGTATGGGCAGCAGGTTTTGAAATAGCTAGAATTTGTGTATTGTGGATGGGGAGACTGGCAAAGAGGGCATTTGAATTGTTGAGGCAGTAGGTGATGAACGCATGGATGAGTGTTTCAACTGCGTCTGGGTTAAGGTACAGTCGGAGGCAGGCAATGTGCAGGAACATTGTAACCCCATACCATCTTGCCTGCTCCCTCTGCTCAGCGGGTTCCGGCCTGCTCACATCCCCTGCCTCGCTTGCCCACCCACTGGGAGGCGGCCCTGCTGCCCTTCTGCCCCCACCCTCTGGAACTCCATCCTGCAGTCCCTCCGCCTCACCCCTTCTCTTGCTTCCTTCAAGACCCATCTCAAGACCCTCCTCTTCGACCATGCTTTTGATCACCCTGCTTCCCCCCCTGCCCTCAACCCCCAGCTCGGGTTCGAAACTCTAACTGTCCAGCCCCTTGGGACATCCTCCGGATGTGAAAGGAGCTATACAAATGGTTGTTGTTGCAAGACAAAGAATAAGCTCTACTAAGGATTTACAACCCAAGATCAGACTAGCACCAGTGTGCATGTTAGTATTGCCACTAGCATCTTTCAAATGATGGATGACTATCTGGAAATTCACTTTCTGAAAATAGTACTATGTGTCATAGAAGGTAACTGCAACTTCGAACTTGTATCCTTTCAGGCAGCAGAAAGTGTTTACACTGATATCCATTTGTATAGGGCATGATTGATATTGTCTTCACGTGGCAAGCAAAATTCATGCATTGCCCAGAATTCTACGGACAGAAACCTGGTACCCACCCGCAGTTCATTGGCTTGCTGGCTTTTCCACAGGAACTGGAATTTACAGATATAAAGATAAACCTTGCATTTGATATAGCATCTACAACGTCAAAACATTGCCAGGTGCATCATAGTTTTCTGCAAAATGTAGTCGCTGTTGTTTAGGCAAGCAAGAGCAATTTGCACACAGCAATATTCCACTAACAGTTATGAAGCAAATGACCAATTTTGGTGATAATATAGTATCATGAGATCTTATAAGAGTGATGGAACCTCAGTTTAATGCTTCATTTGAATTGCTCCCTAGCACTGCATTTGAAGTGCCAGCCTGGATTGTGAGTTCAAAGCCTTCACAAGGGGCTTGAACCCACAACCTTTTGGCTCAGAGGCAAGACTCTGCCCCATATAAGAAGAACTTACTTTTTACAACAAATTATCATGTCAGAGTCTTTTTGAGTAATTGCTATCAAGTGGTCGTTTAATCAAACCCAGCAGCCATTTTGCACATAGTAAGTTCCTACAACCCCATGAGGTCAATTATGAATTTTATCTGGGCCAGGGCATGGGGAGAAACCCCATTTTGTTTTTGAATAGTGCAATGGAGGTCTTTAAAGTCCACTAAAGACTCAAGATTTGGAAGTAGAGGTGGAGTCCTGTAGCTCAGTGGTTAGAGCAACGCACCTTGCAAGCGAGACACCTGGGTTCAATTCCAGGCAGGGCAAAACCTTGGGTAAGTTTCCTTACTCCACACGCCTAATAATAATCTCTCCAAAAAAAAACAATAATAAATTGGTCATTTTTCAAACCATCACTGTTTGTGGGACACTGCTGTGCACAATTGGCTGCCGCGTTTCACCTACAAATATACGGTCAATTCACTTTACAGTATATTCTGTGAAGCGCTTTGAGACATCTCGACGATGTGATAAGCGCTATATCAAATGCAAGGATTATTATTTTTAGTTCCTCCTGAGCTCCATTTTAGATTTGCTTATGGCTATTATGCCTAATAATAATCCCTCCAAAAAAACAAAAACAATAATTAAATTGGTCATTTTCAATCTACGACTGTTTGTGGGACATTGCTGTGCGCAATTGGCTGCCGCGTTCGCCCACAAATATACAATCAATTCACTTTACAGTGTGTTCTGTGAAGCGCTTTGGGACGTCCTCCCGACGTGAAAAGCGCTATATCAAATGCAAGGATTATTATTATCTTATATTTATGCCAGATATAACACATAGCGGTATATCAAACGTATTTTCATATTCTGCGCATCTTAATTATTGTACCAGATTTAAAAATAAATTGTGGATATATAGAATAATTAAAGCGGAAAACTTACTTTTCCATCCTGCTCATGTAGAATAATTCATTGTGTAATATCCTCTCAATGGTTAGAACAAGGACAATCCTAACTAAGTGTAGCCTGGTGAATATCAAAACACAGGTTAACAGACAAGGACAGTAACGTTAGGAAGATAGATGGTCAGTTTACGCTGTGCCTTTCATTGACTGTCTTGTGCAAAATTGACAGTGAAGGTCAAGGCAAAAATCATTGCTTCCCGGTAAAATATGTTCCTTACATGTTCCTGAATCTCTTCTGCATTTTAGCTGAAGCTGCTGAAGAAACCTAATCAACTTGACCTTAATACAAACACAATTGTTATTGTGACAGCTGACTATGACCGGTAATGGATTGATCTAACCCCATCGTGAGGCAATTCACAGTTATCGCATTCTCCTTGAGAGAGTAGTTTCTCATCATTTAGGAGCATATTAAGCAATAGCTTCAGCCCTATAAAAATGCATCATTACCTCGCTTGTTCAGTCTCGCTGGGATTGAAATGATACCTAGTTCAACTCTTGCAGCTCTTCTCAATTCCCACTCCCCCACCCCATACCCCTTTCCCACCCCCATCACTAACCCAAAATGTTTCCTTAACGCTCCTTTCATAAAAACAGAATAATCTTTCATGCATCTCAGTTCAGTTGCTGAAAGCTAAACCAATCACAGTGGAATATTGTTGTGTTGAATACTTGAGAAAAAACACATTTTTGGATGTGTGCTGTGGAACATATATCTGCTCCTCAGGAAACCCACCTAATTCCCATGCATCAAACCAAGGAGGACGTGATTAAAGTGTTAATGATAAGACATTCATCTGACCAGATGTTATGAATCTTTCTAAAACTTTAAATAGCAAAGGATGATATTCAAGGTAATACACAGACCTCTACAACCTCTGGAGTCCTGTACCATACTGGTTAGAGCATTCACCTTGCAAGCAAGTGGACCTGCGCTCGATTCTCGGTTGGGGTGAAACATTAGGCAAGTTTCCTTACTCCTCTGTTTACCTAGCAGCAAGTTGAAGCCCGGTTGTTGGTTGATTGGTGGATTGGTTTACTAGGGGTAATAATCCCTTAAAAAAAATAATATTTTGGTCACTCAGTCTACAACTGTTTGTGGAACACTGCCCAATTTGCTGCCCCGTTTTGCTGGTTTTGGTACTCCAGTATGCTGATGGTTTCTGCATTGTCAGATACCTGTGGGACCAAACCAAATGAGGCTGAATGGATTGACGTTTCAAAGAGCCAGTCCAGACTCTCCGGTGCTGTAAATTTCTGTTTCTATGGTTCTAAGTCACCTTACCCTTTTGGATAAAAGAAGCTCCTCAAATAGATGTAGACCCACTTTGTGGTTTAATGGAGGCTGCAAAAGTATATAGTGCCATCAGTCAGTGTTGGGATGATTATGTGCTAACGTAACCCAGGAAAAATGTGAAATTTTAATCATCTGTAGTTGACAAGTCAGAAGTAAAATCAGGCTGTCTGAGTGGGTATTTTGAGTATTATCATTCCCTGATCCAGGTTTAGCTGTCTCAATAATAATAGGATTTTCAGAAAAATCAAACTGATGATATACTTTTGCAGCCTCTGTTAAAACCCAGAAGGATTCCACAATATGTAAAGAATTTATTTTACCCTGAAGGGTGTGATAATTGCACAGTGCATGATTTTTTTTAAAAAAAACATTGTGTAGAATTTTCTTCCATTACATATGAATTACACGCGTAAATCTCTATTCCATAGAAGAAATTAAATTTTCACTGCACCAAGTTCCAAAACCAAGATATCACAATTTTTCTGGGGGGGGGGACTGTGAAGCAATTCTGAGGTTATAACTATGGCAAACGCTAGTTTTTCACAAAGCTTCTTTCACCACCAAAGAACAATGAATATTCTCTTCATTCTTACTCCCTTATCCACCATGCTTGCCTTGTTAATTTACTGATTTAATAGAGCGTATCTGCTCTGTAATCATTTAGCAACAGAAGTGGATAGTGAGCAAGCTGAATTCGTAGCTGAGCTTTACACTGTCTGTTCAGGTTACTGCAGAATGAAGAAATGGAAAAGCACTACACAAGATCACTTAAATGTTCGTTCGTTGAGCAGTTTCCTGTGGCTTACAAAGATGGTATTCTCTCTCCACTACAACATATTTGTTGATGAACAGTGATTTTTGCTGGCAGACACCTTTGACATTTTACAGCCACGTAATGAAAATTGCAGTTCACGTTCTCTTAGCTGCTGCTATTGCTGTTAACTGCTGAAGAGAAGCCATTGGATTTGTGTCCTTTCTTTGGCAAAAGCCTTACACCATTTTTTCACTTGATTTGCTTTTCAGGTTAAGAAAAAGACGGGCAGCAAGTGGGCAAACAGATAATAATGAAAGTGGGAGTTGCAGTCAAACACACGAAAAGATGCAGGACGGACACAACAACAATGTACTCGGAACTGTCTGTACAACCATTGCGAGTTAGTCAGCAAGAGCCCGGCTGACTGCTCTGGGAACCCTAGAAACACTGATTGTATGATAATGAAAATCATTTCTGTGCATGCCTCGTAAGATACCATTTCTTCCCACCAGAGAACAACTTGGCTGATTAAGATTTTCCTGGGAAATAAAATCTTTACAAAATAAATGGATATTTTATTATCATCTGCTTGTACGCTGGAGTGGAAACGGGGAATTTTCCTGTTGGGAGTAAAGTCTTGCTCAGAAAGACTGCAGAATAAATATTACCAAACTGTCTTGAAATCAATTTTTCATATCACACATTCCTTCAAGGAATAAACCCACTTAGAATATGTGAAGGAAAGTATCACAGTCTTAAGCCTTTAAGCACAGTTTTGAGTCCTGGTATCTGAAGTTTAGCTGTCTGTGAATATATGTGTGGTGCTGAATCTTTTTTTCCCAGTCTCACAAGATTCTTTGCTCATTTGTTTTGATGCTTGGAATCGACTCTTTGGCCTCAAAACATCAAGCTTTGTGAAAATGTTTCCTGTTTGTTCATGCATTTTTTCCAACTTTTATAAATTAGTTCAATGGTGTTTAAATGAACTCTTTGTTTATCTGAATCACAACACTAAACTGTGAGAATGACATGAATAAAGATGGTCATGCAGTGAATGCTGGCAAGTAAAAGGTTTGCTGGTGGAAATAACTTGCATTGATTAATTAATAAATAGTAAATGTGCATTGTTTGTGAATAATTGATATTAGAGTCTGTTTCCCTTCTGTATATTCCTTGTTATTTTATCATTTTAACTTTGTTAACTTAAAGCATTTAACATCTGGTAGAGACTCTTTTTACAGCAACTTGCATTTATATAGCGCCCTGCTGAGTGCTTTTACTGTTTGTTGTGATTATTTAGCTATAAATACAGCATTGACAGATTTCATTTGACTGTTAAAATTTATCTCCTCTAATAATTTGGGTGTCACCTGATTCCACATCAGTGGGAGAGGGACAGCAAAATCTGTGGTTCTTTAATCTTGAAAGTTCTTGGTGACGGGCTCAAGGCCCATAATGAGGGCACTAGTGTGGAGGAGAGGGCAAGATGAAAATATGATCAAAATCATTAGGTGTTTAAGTGTTACCAGGTCTGGGGTTTTCAATCCCTAATACATCATACACACAACCTTTCTGTGAAGGCTATTTGTTTGTGACTCTCACTTCCTTGGGTGTTGTAATTTTCACTGGAGGAGCTCAGATAGCTCAGTTGATAGAGCATCAGACATTTAAACCATCGATTTGTTAGTGATCTGAGGGTCCAGGGTTCAAGTCTCTTTTCACACATTAGTTATTTACTTTCTGGAATTAGGTAAGCAGGATGCGTCCCTCCAGGGAGAGAGTGTTCATTCATTCCATTCCAACAATCTATCCATGTATAGGTGGGATGCACGTAATTCTCAGTTAGTTTGGCTACTCTTAAGCATGGTGATGGGTTTCTGCGTGTGTCAGACACCCAGCTGCCCCCAAAAATGTTCACAGCAGAGCTTGCCGGAGTCATATCAATAAGACAAAATTGTGTCAATTTGGAGTATGTCAGCTTTACGGTGGTGGTAAATCTGGGCTGTAAAAGTTCCTTTTCAGCCAATGATAATACACGTTTTAAGCAGGGAGGGGGAAGGTGGTGGTGATCTCCTTAGAGCTGAACCGTCTCCAAATGACATGCTTTGCAATGAAATGTTGCTTATTATTATTATTGTATTACCAAGGCTCTGTGGCGTTCTCGGTAGTCTGGTTCCTGAGCCATGAGGGTCCGCAGTATTCCAGGGATAGCTAATGACAGCATAGCAGCCTGGCTCATCGGCACGACTCGGGAGGGCTGACCAGTCACTGGCGGCAGGGAATCCTTCCACTCAGCTCCTGTTAACCCTGCAAGCCAAAGCCCTAATGGGCAGGGTAGTCCTAGCTGGACAAGCAGCAGGAAAGCTCACCAGACAATGCTATCAATGGCAAGCTATGTGGTTTTAGCTGGTTATTTTCCAGCAGTACTTCAACCTTTGGCTCTTGTCAACCTGCGCCTAATACCTTCTGGAATTAGGGAGGTCGATGCATCCCTCCAGGGAGAGAGTGCGCATTCCATCCCAACAATTTATCTCTGCAAATTCTATGTGTAGGTGGGATGAATGGAATTCTCAGTTTGGTTTGGATACTCTTAAGCATGGGGATGGATTTCCACATGTGTCAGACACCCGGCCGATCCCAAATAAAAGAAGATGGTGAGGTTAAGCTTGTGCAAAGCAATTATTTTTGTTTTCAATCCAATCATAGTTGTGCTATCTCTGTCAATCTGTCTTTATCAAGGAGAGGTTATTTCTGCTGTTAGTGCTGCCCTATGTCTCTGTCATTGCAAAACGAATGGCATCTCACAGCTGAGCACTGACGAGACTCAGTGCACAAGAGGTTCTGGACACAAGCCATTGCAAGATTTCAGATGCGCTCCTTGATTATCCAACACATTAAATTTAATTTATTGTTATGCCAACACTTCATTCAGTGAGATAGACAATTAAGTCATATTTCAAAAAACAAAATTGATATAAAATCACTTCAAAATTGACAGGATTATTTTCAGAATCGGTAGAAGGAAATCAGTATGAAGCTGATATGGTTATTTTCAAAGATGACATGTCAATTATATTTAACATTGTACTGCAAACATTAAATGGTTGTTGATACAAGTTTCTATTTCTTATTTACAGCTTTCTGCATTTTAGCTGCTTCATGAAATCTTAAAAAAATCCACTAGAGATGACCATCTCTAACATTGCAGAGATCCTGAATTACACTAAACATCCAAGTTATGATCCACAATTAATTTAGTAATATGAATTAATTTATTAATGTGCATTACTTTTGAATTAATTTGTTAATTATTGTTTATTAATATAATTTAATGCAACTGAAGCACAACAACTAATAATGTTCCTGTTCCATAAAATTACTACAATGCAATATACGTAAACTAATCATTGAAATCAGTTTAATATGCTTCAAAATAATATACAAGGAAGATACAAGGGGCATGAGTCCCAATTGTTGATTCTTATCGGTACCTCGGGATCACGCTGAGAAGAGGTGAAGGGCAACACTTGTTGTTCTTGTCTCTCTTCGAGGACAGCAAGGACCCAATGCAAGTCAAGCTTGCGGCATATAAGACCTGTGTGCAAACAGTCCTCTCACCTCCAAAGTCCAGGATCAAACAGTGAGATGGATTTGTGGCAAACATGTAAAGCGGCTGCAGAGAGGCAGGGCTCCAGCCCACACTGAACTGTCACTAAGCACCCTGGAGGCGGAGGCAGTGGACACATCTATTTGCCAAAACCCCTCGCACAAAGACCTCGACTAAGCAGCTGGTGCTGAGTAAACCTGGTACACAACATTGGATTTGGACCTCAAGAACATCAAGGTGGTTAGAATGCCACAAGCTGTCCCATCAGGCTGAAGGCAGACGTCCATCAAATAACTGATGAGGAATCTCTGAGGCTTGGGGTGACAGCTGCTGGTAGGTTTTATCTGGAGTCCGAGGTAGTGAACACATATTCACTAACAAACAATGTTACTAACACAGAGCCTAATAATAATCCCTCCAAAACCAAAAACAATAATAAATTGGTCATTTTCAATCTATGACTGTTTGTGGGACATTGCTGTGCGCAATTGGCTGCCGCGTTCGCCCACAAATATACAGTCAATTCACTTTACAGTGTGTTCTGTGAAGCGCTTTGGGACGTCCTCCCGACGTGAAAAGCGCTATATCAAATGCAAGGATTATTATTATTATTATTATTATTCATAAATCCAGCACCTGGAATCCACCTTGATTGGCGTGCAGAGTGGCAAGCAGCTGCTGCTTCAGCTCTGCACCTCACAACCTCGCCAAACAACAACTTGCTAGAAGTAAACTGAGAACTATGCTTAAACCAGGTAAAGGTTATTCTGTAATCAATTTCCTTCATTAATTAGAGGTATCTGTATTTCTCTTCATTCACATGCATTTGCACATGGTTAGCACAATGAACATATTTTTCAAATTGGTTGTTAATTCACAATTACTAAGCAGAAATGAAGGACACTATGGAAATCTTCCCTGTTTTAATGAAAATTGACCTGATTAGTTTGGAAGGTACTCTGCAAGTCCTATGTGATTTACTCTCCAGGATATTGCAGCTTCTAATGATTACTTTCATGTTGTGCTGATGGAAAAAGACGTTCCCTGAGGTAGGAACAGAAGCAACCTGTTAGCACTGAGTTTTCCATATATGCCTGAGAACCACAGCACGTTTGAAATGGAATATGTGGATCACTCAACTTTACAGAAAATTCTATGAAATGCTTTAAGATGTCTTGACATCGAGATAAGGAGCTAATTTAAATACAAGGATTATCATTATTATTTATGTCAGTTCCATTGACACCAGCATTGGTATGGATTGCATTTGTGATGGTTCAACTTACCCACATTTCTAATGTGCTACAGGGGGTTGTATTGGATGCAGTATTGCTAAAGGTTCTTCTTTGAGCAAATAATGATCTTGGAATTTATATCGGTCCAGTGAATGAAAATAAATCGTCAAAGAATGGAATAATCAATACTGCTACAAAGGAATAAAATATTTGTTGTCATACATATTAAATAAGTGACGTTTTATTGGCTGTGTCGACTGCTTCACTTAAAATGCCTTAGTTGATGAAGAGTTCCTTCACTTACCAATCTGACCAATTGTTGGTCAACAAATAAATCAATCAATAAAAGGAAAAACATGATGCCTAATAGAATTACAAACAACATAGATTTAAACTCTCACCGAAGACTTCATCTGCAAGAGTTCTGGCAATATCGTGAGTGAGAATACTCAAGGTTGGTTCTCCATCGATAGCCACTCAAGCCCAACAGCTGGACAGAATGTTGCCAGTCTATTTATCATTGAACCCTCACTGCACATCCAATGTCAGGCTCATTTGTTTTGAGAATTTCTATTTCAAGGTCTCTGCAATCTCCTCCCATGGTTTTCGGAACTCTCTGAGACTGTAGCGAATGTTAATGCATAACAGCAACTCTTCAATACTCATCCATTCAATCACTCCAGACTTAGGTGAAGTAGGCATCCTGGATATTCTTTAAGAGCGAAGATGCTTCTTAAGCACCAGTATATTGTCAGTATTGCTATACTTCATTGATCTTAAAGGCATAATATCTATCTGACTTGTTAAAAAGGTTATTAAAACCTGATATTGAAAATGTATTTTGACTTGTTGCATCTCAGATAACACTTCAAAAGCTCAAGTCACCTCTACTGAAAGAATAAACCTTCAGATCAACATTACATTACAGTTTAAAAATAACACTACTGCCCACATTGCAAATGACAAAATTTACCAATTTATTTATAAATACATCAAACAAAATGTAACGTTTGGAGAATTTAAAATGCTTATGCAGCTCCAAAGTACTGTGTACTCAGCTAAGAACAAAGAGAAATTAAAATTGAATATCTCTTCTTGTGAGAAAAAGGGTAAAATGTCTCCTGGGGTTAGATGTTCTCTATTAAAACAGCATTTTGCAAAATATGGAATCCGGCAAATTCTTAAATATAGCCTCAAATTTGAAGCCATTTTTATGTAAGTTTCTTTCAAGAACAACAAATTACATTTGTATAGCACCTTTCATGTTGGAAGGACAGACCAAGTCACTGAAGTACTACAGAAAATGAACTTCAAAGTTAAGACTAAATTTTAAAAATTGACATATTCTCAACACTCTAAAATGCTAAGCTGATAGAGTAAATCTACGTGGAATTTTACCACAATAATTTCCGTTTTTCACACAAGTCCTGTGGCTCAGTGGTTAGAGCACTCGCCTCGGAAGTGAGAGGCCTGGGTTCTATTCCCAGCAGGGTGAAATGTTGGGCAAGATTCCCTATTCCACACACCTCTATTTACTTAGTAAGTAGGAACCCGTTGTTCGTCAATTGGTGGAATGCTTTTCCGGGGATAATAATCCCTCAAGAAAAAAAAAATAATTTGGTCACTCAATCCACAACTGTTTGTGGGACACGACTGTGTGCAATTGGCTACCATGTTTCGCCCACGAATATACAGTCAATTCACTTTACAGCATATTCCGTGAAGCACTTTGAGACGTCTAGAAGACGTGAAAAGAGCTATATCAATGCAAGCATTATTATTATCAAATAGCATATTGATAAAAAGGTGAAGAGTGCAGTAACATGAGTTACAGAGGCCAATACAACACCTTGAAATAATTCTGCATTTAAGGTCTTTCTAAATTAGCCACAGTTGATCTTTTAAAGTTCAGGAAATTCCGCTTTTTCTTCTTTGGGCGAAGGTTTGTACGACAGGGTTCCTCTGCTTTAATACGAAACACAAATACTTTTTCATCTGTGTCTGGCAAGTTTAGCATTTGACCTATGGTTTCACCAGCTGGTTCAGGATGGCACTGAGCTTCTTGAGGAAGAAATTCAGAGGAAGTGTCCACATGAGAAAAGGACATACCTTTCAGGAGCTGCAATCGCTTTAGCTTCAATACCCTGCTGAGAAAATGAAAGGAACCTTTCAATGTGATTTTGTTGCAGTGAAATGCAAAGCTGGTGAAAAATGTTTGGCGCCCAGCACAAACCTCATGCATTTAACAAGCAGCACTCCAGCTTGTTAAAGTCATAAAATGGATGTGAAGTAGGGAATGTACAGAGGCTACATCAGCATAAGCACTGCAGTCAATGCAAACAAGAAAGCAAGAATTGTATTTCTGCACCACATTGAACATTTAAACCACTTTGCACTATGCTTGCAGTGAGCAAAACCCACTCTCATTGTACCTTAAGTATTAAAAGTAGTGCTGCCTCTCCAACTCACAAATCCATCAATTAACATACATTCATTACAACCTAGCTCCTTTGTGTCTTTCAGGTCCTATTGGTAATGTTAAACTGGTGCTGCTCACGTGCTAGATTAAAATATGTACTTGTACTAATTAGAGTTGTGGAGTTGGACAAAAAAGCAAATCAAATCTCAATTTAGGTACTGATAATGAATGAGAGGCAGGGGATAAAGCTAACTATAAAGCTCATCACAAACAAATGAGTCTATCATTCCTTGAACATTCACTGCTGGTCAATTAATTTTAACATTTACAAAGCGGGTTAAGTCATGCCCAGTAATGCTCGTGGCTTCGTAAATGGCTTTTTTATTGGTTACTGTAGCAACATACAAATAAGTTAATTTGTTTGGGCATTTTGTTTGCTGGTGTAGGAGATCAGCAATCCTATTGCGTATCACTCTTACATCACAAGTTGAACTGCAGCCACCTATAAGTAGTTTTCAGTTATATACATCTGTTAAAGTGCTTCTCATTTCAAATACAACAGCTGATTCACTGACCATGTGGGGAACATTACTGGGGTCTATTATTACAACAGAGATATTTCCTGCTCCATTAGAGGGCAACTTGACATTTTGTGTCCATGTCATTGTTATCTTTCTACATTAATCTCACTTACCAACTCGTTTCTGATATGAATGATTTTATTCGCCTGGAAATTTTTATTCACTTGGGAATCAGACCTGGCAAGAGGACCTAGGTTTGATTCCCAGGCAGGACGAAACCTTAGGCAAGTTTCCTTACACCACATGCCTGTTTAACTAGCAGTAAGTAGTAACCAGTTGTTAGTTTATTGGCAAATTGCTTTCCGGGGGTAATAATCCCTTAAAAAAATGTGGTCACTCAATCCACAATTGTTTGTGGGACACTGCTGTGCGCAATTATCTGCCGCGTTAATAATCCTTGCATTTGCAGTAGCGCCTTATCAGGTCTTTGAAACGTCTCAAAGCGCTTCACAGAATATACTATAACGTCTGTGTATCTTGTGGGTGAAATACAGCAGACAATTGCGCACAGCAGTGTCCCACAAACAGTTATGGATTGAGTAATTTATTTATTCTGAAGGGATTATTACCCCTGGAAAGCAATCCATTAATCAACTAACTACTGGGTTCCTACTTACTGCTAGGAAAACAGAGGTATGTGGAGTAATTCCCAGGTGTAAAATCAATTATATCAAAAACGAGTTGGAAAATGAGATTAATGTAAAAAAGGATAGAGGTAGGAAGCAGCAAGACCATGGAGGACTGTGAAGGCGAGGCCGAGGATTTTGAACTCCGTCCTTTGCGGGATGGGGAGTCAGTGGAGCCGGGCAAAGGTGGGGGGTGATAGGGTCACTCAGCCTTGTATGGGTGAGGACACAAGCAGCAGAGTTCAGAATAATCTGCAGCTTGTGGAGGGAAGAGTTGAGAAGCCCGATAAGCAGAGAGTTGGCATACTCGAGCCTAGATATGAACAATGTGTGGATGAGGGTTCCAGCAGCCTGAGGGATGAGGCAGTAGCAGCGTCGGGTGATGTTGCAGAGGTTGGGGAAGGCAGAGCGGGTCATAGCATGGATGTGGGGTAGAAAGGCCAGCTGAGGGTCAAACAAGATGCCTAGATTCCTGACTAGCTCAGTAAGGTGGAGTGTGCATCCTTGGATGGTGATACTGCCAGTGCCTGAGGTGTGGAGGCACTGACAATAACAATTACATGTACAATTACATTTGTATAGCATTTTTCACGTCGGGAGGACATCCCAAGGTGTTAATGGGAGCCAATTAGAAGGGCCTCAGTCCTGTTGATGTTCAACTGGAGAAAGTTTGCTCTCATCCAGGACTTGATGTCTGATAAGACAGTCTGTCAGAACATCTGTGGTTCTGGACTTGATGGTGGAGGCAGAGAGATAGAGTTGGGTGTCATCTGCATATACGTGGAAGTTGACCACATGTCTGCAGATGATGTCACCAAAGATGTTGAAGAAGAGAGGACCAAGGCTAAATCCCTGAGGAAAGCTGCACAAGATGTTTCAGGGAATGGAGGAGAAGCTGTTAGTGGAGACAAAGAGCAAAGATGGGATTTCAACCAGTCAAGGACAGAACCACAGAAGTTTTGATGAGTGCCTTTACCTATGACATGAGAAACTATTGAACAGGCATTATTAATTATGCAACCATACCTAATAAATTGGGTTGATCTACCCAAGTGTGCAGTTGTCACGGCTCCACAATGTCATTGCCATCTAGAAGAATCGGTTTCAATGCCAATAAATCAATTTTTATATGTGGTATTGTCAGCACTTACCAAAAACTGACTTCATTTCAGAGAAACAATCTAACACCTTCTGATTGCACCAATTTAGCTAGCAGCGAAAGTTAAAACGATTGTGGCCACAAGCTGCTCATTACCTTCCTTTCTTTCTGCAAAGAGTGCGTGTCTTCTCCAGCTGCTTAGCAATAAGTTGCTCCCTAAGCTTTAGATTGAGTGACTGTTTGAAAGCCTGAAGCCTCCTAGCAAAAGAAAGAAACAGTGAGACACTATGTTGCAGGAACACTGGTGCTTCAGATACTATTAGCAGCAAATCATTAGGAGCAAATATTAATTGTAGCAAATCATCTCTATCATGATGATCATGGAGTTCATCTTTGGAAAGTAGTCTTTGCATTCTTAACAGTGGTTCTCAATCTTTTTGAGCCCAGGACCCATTTGTTAACCTTGATGGCCTGTCGGGACCCAATAAACAGCTTTAGTGCAAAAAAAAGGAATCACCTCATTAATAGAATCATAGAATATTACAGCACAGAAAGAGGCCATTCGGTCCATCGTGTCTCTTTGGAACAGCTACCTAATCAATCCCGCTCCCCCACTCTTTCCCTATATTCCTGCAAATTTTTCCTTTTCAAGTACCTATCTAATTCCCTTTGACAGTTGTTATTGAGTCTGTTTCCACCACCCTTTCAGGCAGTGCATTCCAGACCGTAACGACTCTCCATGTAAAACATTTTCTCCCCTCTAGATCTTCTGCCAATTATCTTAAATCTATGTGCCCTGGTTACTGACCCACCTGCCAGTGGAAACAGTTTCTCCTTATCTACTTTATCAAAATCCCTCATAATTTTGAACCTCTATTAAATCTACCCATAACCTTCTCTGCTCTAAGGAAAATAATCCCAGCTTTAAATGCACATTTTAAGAAAAACACAATTACAAGTTTAGGACGACTTTCTGATGTCAGTGGTCACAAATTATTTCACCACCAATAACTCTTACCTCTTTCTCGAATCATCTGCAATGTTTTCACTCAGCCCACTATCAACCATTCTGCTACTATCTCTTGAGTAGATTTGACTGATTAGTGGAGCTATCTCGTTCTCAGTGGCATTGGGAAGAAGCAGGTTAAACAATGATTGCATCACATTTACTGGTACTTTCAGCTGCTGCACAAGGTAAGCCACCAACTTGATCTCCTAAAATGAAACGAAGAAGCTTCAAGAGAAGCAATATCTCAGAGAGAAATACATTATTCCAACATCAAATGAAAACACAATATAGATGGATCCAATTGTTCCTCTCCCTGGGCATGAATATTTCCATAAGTGGTGGAACCATGCTATATTTATTCTGTATGCAACTACAATAAAAAAAATGTGATTGCACAAAGTCAGCAGTTATTTTTAACATTTTTCACTGAGGCAATGTCCTGCCAACAGTATAAATATAGATGGAATTAATCAATAGTCTGCTGCTTCTCTGAGCTTTCCTCAGTCACATTAAGAAGATCTGGAGTGAAAAGATCATTGGGGCCATCGATCCTCATTCCTCCAGTAAATTAAATCTCCCATCATAGAGGGCAGCCCCACTTCTGTATAGAGCTTACAGACCGGGAGTTCACTGGTTCAAATCCGGGTCTTGCTCATTTTGCTGGTCTCAGCCAAGGCTGCATAGGGAGACTTAATTGGCCCTGTGGTTAGAGAGGTTAAAATCAGATGGTTTACTGGTTCTAGTCCCTCTTCAGCAACTTCTACTGGTTGTTTGCGTGTGGCTGCCGAATTGGGAGAGGGGAGGCATTGGCTTTGACACCCTCTACAGTTGAGTGTTCTGCTGACACTCACACACTCACTGCCACAGCTATAACGTAAACAATGGCCTCTTAATAATAATAATCCTTGCATTTGATATAGAGCTTTTCATGTCTTCTCAACATCTCAAAGCGCTTCACAGAATATGGTGTAAAGTGAATTGACTGTATATTTGTGGGCGAAACAAGGCAGCTAATTGTGCACAGCAGTGTCCCACAAACAGTTGTGGATTGAGTGACCAAATTATTTATTCTTTTTTCTTGAGGGATTATTATCAGGCGTGTGGAGTAAGGAAATTTGCCCAAGATTTTGCCCTGCTGGAAATCGAACCCAGGTGTCTTGCATGCGAGGCAAGTGCTCTAACCCTGAGCTACAGGACTCTTGGGCGAGGTAGCAGAGGGCTACCAGCATCGGTGGATCTGTACAGCAAGATGAGGCCGGAGACCAGGAGCAGAGGTACTGCTCTCTCTGTATGCGTCAGTGGGGAGAGAATTAGAAGCATAGAAATTTACAGCATAAAAGGAGGCAGTTCAAACCATCATGTCTGCATTGGCTTCAAAGCAAGATATTGATTCAATTCCACTGCCCTAATTAACCCCAAACCTTTCCAGCCTCTAAACATATACTTCAATTAATTGGGAACACTGCATTCTTTTTTTAAAAAACTCCCATCGTGGCATCTAATGGTATTTTGGATATGATTCAGTGAGGTGTTTCTTTGTGAAACACAGAGGAAAGGGCAACAGGGAGTTAGTGAAATGCAGTCATTTCCTCGAGGGCTTCAGACGCTGTCATGAACTTCATGAGAAAAGTTCAATTTAGAACCATCATCCATATCCACAGGATGTGATGGTACTATGCAGTTGAGCGGAAGCAGAGAAGAGGAAACAGAGGGAATGTTGGCATAGATAAATACCAGAGAATTGTTGGATTAGCTTTTTAAATTGAAGTAGTTGCGTGGAGGTTCCCTTCAGAATACTGAGGAGGAATAGGTCGAGTCCTCGACAGTGTGCGATAGGAATGGTGTTGAATGACCTTTACGCATCCCATGCTTTCTCAGCTGTGTGCAATTTGGCTGCCTTGTTTGCCCACAAAACACTCAGTCACTGCACTTTGAGACACCCTCCTGACATGAAAAGCGCTATAATAAATTGCAAAGGATTATTATTAATAATACAACAATGGAGACTCTCCAGTGATTCAAATGATTCAGGATAATGAGAACCAGCCTACCTGCCCATCATTATATAGCAGGACAAAAGCTTTGAAAGGAAATATTCTGAACAAAGTGGCTCATTAAAAACACTATTTGCCATGGAGATGTTCAGGAAGTAGCAGAGAGGTAATGAGCATGAGAGTTAATTACCTTTCCTGGCCGTTCCATGTGGATTAACGCCTTTTATATCAGAAGATAAATGTTGCTCTGACTTCACTCCAATTTGAGCTTTGATGGAGAAACTTACCTGCTCCTGAAGAGCTAGAAGTCTCTCCACTGCCAGCTGTTCCTTTAGATCTTCAAGTAATTGGCTGTTTCTTTCTTCCTCTCTTAGTCTGGGAACCAGAGGCAAAGCAATGCTAACATTAACACAATGTCTCATGCTGAATGATCATGTAGACACAACCAACATATGCTTTTATCAAAGGTACAAGAAGTCATGTAAGTCCGGTTAATCCAAACTATTTAGGCCATTGACCTGTGATATATAGAACTAACTGAAAAAGATATATTGTTGAGTGATTAAGTGTAGTTCTCATATTGATGTGAGCCAGGGTCAAATGCAACCATATAAATGAAATTACTGAATAATTGCTCAATTCTGAACTTGCTAATGCACGCTTTAAAAAAAAGGCAAGGTATGAACAAACTTCCAGTTTTATCAAGGCATTTAAGCCAGAAATATTGGATAGTTTCATGGCAGATGGAATGTCTTCTAGTGATTTTTCCCACCTTCTCAATACTACAATCCTTCCCCTGGGTTTACCTTTGGCTCTCTTCTTCCATCACTTCTTGACACTTAAGCATGGCCTGGTGCAGACAAAGTGATATTTGACCACTACTTTGAGCTGCCGCTCCGCCACAGAGAGACCTGCTCTGTGTCACTGCCCAGCTGAACTTTCCTGCCTGTTGACTCTGGACAGCAAGCTTGTGTTGTAGTACTTCTGAATGTAAGCTGAACAGCTGCTCCAGTTCCTGCAAAGAGAAATAATTTTGATTACTTTTTCCCCCTCACTTCTATGATTGTAGATAATACTAATCCTTGCATTTGATATAGTGCCTTATCAGGTCTTCGAGACGTCTCAAAGCGCTTCACAGAATAAACTGTGAAGTGAATTTGACTGTATATTTTGTGGATGAAACGTCTGGCAATAAATCTCCTACATCCTTGCTGTAAATGTCTGCCCAGAGCTCCTGTGGTCAAAACACGCCAAGGCTAGTGCTGTTCTCACTATGTGCTGATGAACAACTCCATTATCAATAGAGCAGCTGTCTACCAGCTGTATTTCTTACTCTAGCAAACTCCCAATTGGTATCCAGAGCCAGAAATGACAGCAATTTGCAGGATTCCCAATGGAGCTTCTTGCAGAAGCTCCGGTGCTGATTTCAGCAGAGATGCCCAGAGGAGACTAATACTGTATGATTCCCTACCTGGTAATTTCTGCTTCATTCTTCTTATCAAAAGATTTTTACACATGCTGATGAATTGAAACCCATTGAGAAACACTTGAGAATCAACAAAATGGGCCGAATTGCCCTTTACAATAGTCTCTGATGCTATGCTGTCAGGAGATGACCTTGAAGAGATGCTTAGGCATCTGCGAGGCCTTTGGGAATGAGAAGGAGCTTGATGCATGGAGGTGTTGCCGATATCCCAATTAGGGATATAGACGATATAAACATAAACAAATATTCTCAATTTGAAGAGTACTCTGCAAAGGTGGGCAATCTGGAAATTAAGGATCGTCATGACGTTGACCAAATAAACTCAGGTCATGAGGCTGGAGTTACTGGGGAAAAACCTAATAGTGCTGCAAACAAACTTTGTTCTGCTGCAAAGCACAATCCATTAGCACTGTCTCATTTTATCGTATATTAATAAAAGTGGGAGTAATTCAATTATTCAGAAGCATTTTGATAAATTACAGCTTACTAGAAAGCCACTAGGGGCCACCTTTATGAAGCTTTAATGTGAATAAACTTCACTCCCCAGTCACCATTGTGCATTATTATGCCCACATTCAATTACCCATTAGCAAGGCTACATTTTAACAGAGAACTAAAACGATTTAAAGAGCATTAAAATTCTTTGAAATACAAAACAGAAAATGATGAAAATGCGCAGGAGGCCAATAAATATGCAAGCCCTTTCTAGTTCCACTGAAGACGCTGAAACGACAATCTATGTTGCTCTCTCAAAAGCTGATCGACCCGCTGTGCGTTTCCATCAGTTTGGCTTTTATTTCAGATTTTCCATTTTATTTTTTTAATCTCAGCAGTAACCTTTTGCTCTGACTGGAATTTGTTTTGGCCCCAAATACATGCCTTTATATTACAGTTAATTTGCAAGAGAGGAGGGCAGAGTTAATGTAAACGCTTGAAAATTGAATAGAAGAGAGAGGAAAAGAGAGAGAAAGAGAGAAAGTTTCCCCTTTTTGTAAATTTCTCTCCATGCAACACTCACGTGATGGTGTGCCTGAATAATTTGGGTACATTCTGACCCAGACAGTGTCCCTGCTGTGCTTAGTTCTTCTAACAGTAGAGCTTGTAGGTTGAGAATAGCAGTGTGACTCCCCAGGAGTCTCGCATGCCTCGAGGCTTTCTGTAGCTGAATTGAGGACATGCAGATTCCTAGGTTTTCTTCCAGAGCCTTCATCTGATTCGCTTTCTGAGAAACCAGCTCAGTGCAAATCTGGAAGAACAAGTGGATGTAATTTTGATAAGATAAGCAAAATCCTAGCGGAAAGAAAAATATGTTAATCGATACAAAATTACTCAATCCCTCTTTCTAAGTGTTTTTTTTCCTTCAAAAAGAAATGGGAGTATCTTAGCACCCAAACAAAATGGTGCAGGTCATTGGAAGGTGAAAACGTTCAAATTACAGGCCGTTTAACGATACAATACTTGATATAAATATATGTAGGTTTAAGATCGCTCAATGCATCTCTGAAGTAATGACTCCAGGTTCATGAAGTCTTGGTAGCGCAGAGTTTGAATCAGGCAGTTGCTTTCTTTTTTTCAGCAAGCTCTGCAAGACCCTCCCCGCCCCCAGAGAAATCATTGATTTCTGAACAGAGTGAGCAGCGGGGAATTCTGCTGAACTGATGGGTCATTCACGTCAGGAAGTTAGATGCATTTAACAAACAGTTACATTGGGAAGCTGATAGGATTACTATTTTGGAGGTCAAAGTTGAATCTTCATCTCAACCTGTCTTGTAAAGCACACCCACCCCCCCACACAAAAAAAGTATTCAAGGGCTGACATGTTTCTTTTTCCTCCAAAGGCTATGAAACCCATCTTCTTCTCTCAGTCATGTGCAACGATCATTGAGGGAGTAGGCTGGTGATCTGCTCCCAGTCCCAGAACCTGAGAATATTTATTTATGTTTATATCGTCTATATCCCTAATTGCGATATCGGCAACACCCACAGCAACTTGAAAGGGTTAGATGCAAGTTCAGTGCCACAGTAACTCTTGTGTCAAAAACCAGGGCTGTGCTTACATTATTGATTTTTTGGAGCTCATCAAAAGATAAAGTCACAAATATCATCAATGGCTTTTTTTTGAGCTGTGGCAAACGCTTCAAACATTAGTCCCAGGTCAAGTAGCAACAAGATCCAAATTAATACAGACCTAAATTAGTATAGTACTGGTGTTTTAGTGAAGATGATAGGATTGTGTGGAGTCCTGTAGCTCAGTGGTTAGAGCACTCGCTTTGCAAGCGAGAGACCTGAGTTCAATCCCAGGCAGAGGGCGAAACCTTGGGCAAGTTTCCTTACTCCACACAGAGCCTAATAATAATCCCTCCAAAACCTAAAACAATAATAAATTGGTCATTTTCAATCTATGACTGTTTGTGGGACATTGCTGTCCGCAATTGGCTGCCGCGTTCGCCCACAAATATACAGTCAATTCACTTTACAGTGTGTTCTGTGAAGCGCTTTGGGACGTCCTCCCGACGTGAAAAGCGCTATATCAAATGCAAGGCTTATTATTATTATTATTATTGCTATCTGTAGCGATAAGAGCTCCTCAGATTATTTAAAACAAACCATTTAACACTTCTCATCATGTCCTCCTCTTCTAACAGAACATTTAGTCTAGAATCTCCAGAGTTCTCATTTAATGTCTGCGAAACTCAGGTGAAAGTAATGCATCTTTGAGTATCTTTGAGCCTGTGGAATTTTCCCTAAAAGAAAACAAGCAATGAATTATTGAGGCAATTTCAATGTCCAATTATTGAATTTCATGACTTCTGCATTAATTTTAACACCTGTTTCTAGTACACAATAAACTTGAAAGAAGCTAAGACTATTTTAGTTCCAATTTGTCAAATTTCGTATGTTCTAATTTACCAGGATAATAGCACTAATTAAACACTGTATAATGATATGCCCTGTGTCCAAAAGCACAGAGGCTATGAGGAGTCAGAATTTTTTAAGAAGTTATGTGACAAAGTTCCACATGTGAGTCTTTTCCAGAAATCTTGAATTAAGTATGGGGATCATTAACATTGGAAAAAATATCAAGTTCTGACATGGGGCTTGAACCTAAAACCTTCTGACTCAGAGGTGAGAGTTAAAACCAATGAGCCAGACTGACACTTGATAGAAACATAAAATAGCAATACTGTACTAATTGAGGCCTGAGAAAAGTCAGCAACAACCATGAAAAACTTGCCGTACTGTAAAGTGTTTTAAAAGAAAAAATGCGTTTTCTTTTGAAAACCATCAAGGAGACATTCCAAAGGGAATGGGATGTTAAAAACTGCACTGTAAAGAAAAATAAATCAATCTGTGCGAATTTACTCAAAGTTTCGTTTTTGGAGAATCAGTCAGATAGAAACTCCTTTACTGCACAAGTTATTTAGATGGGAATTCTTTTAAGGAAATGAGGCCGGAGAGACTCACACTTTCAAGGCGTTTTTATTGCTGTTAAGGGACTTCTGATTAGTGAAGCTTTCAACATGTTAGTAGCTGGTTAAAGACTCTAAATTCCCAGGTGTCTTTTAAAGTATGTTTCAAATCAAGTATGCTTTGTTTGTGCATCAATTCTCAAAATAAAATGTTTATTTTGCTAGGAATTATTCCCACTGTTGTGCTGAAGTGAAACCATGGATTTTAATGGAAATAATGGATTATTTCACTCAGGTGGTCTGTGCCTCAGATCACATATGTGTCTGTCGGCACCACAGAAGGACTGTTTCAAGGAGTTAGAGCCACATTATACCTGAGCACAACTCAAAATGTTTTCGAAATTATCTCATGTGAAATTGGATTTGCAAACACTTGATCTTTAAAATAGTCACCTCTACCTTTGTGGTCACACCTGGCACCACTACACAAAGTACATTTTGAGCTCTTCAGGAGAGAAAGAACCTGTAGATTCAGATGCTGTTTGCTTTTCAATGGCTTTTCCCATTTGCATTAACCCCTTGTTATACTAGGATTCTCACACTATTTTCACATTGCATTTACATTCAAAAGGGAAGAAATGCAGCATGAAAAGCCTACTGCGCAGTTAAAGATTGGTAAGTAGCCTGACTGCATTGCTTCCAAGACCAAATCAAGATGCTGACCTGGTGGTTGAGCAACTTTGTGTGGGCTGTAACTGTGGGCAGCACTCTGCCCTGTAATCAAATGTAAGTCATGCTGCAATACCTCTCTCCCTCTACCATTTTCTCACTCATTTTCTCTCTCAATCTTCCACTTTTTGGATCTATGTCTCTGAGTCTTTCTAACTTTCTTTTTCTCTCTGTGACTTTTCTTACTCTATTTCTAACCTCTTGTACCATCCACCTGTCTCTGTGGCTAGCTTCCTTACCTCTGGGCTAAAAGATTGTGGGTTCAAACCCCACATGGGAACTTTGCGCATACAGTCAGCACGTGTAGAGCTGGGGAAGCACTACATTGTTGGAGGTGCTATCATTTGCATCAGACATCAAACCAATATGCTATCTGCTCGTTCAGGTAGACTTTAAAGATCCCATGGCACCTTTGAAAAAGAAAATTATTCTGATGTCCTGCGCAGCAATTCCCCAAATTGAAATGATAATTCACTTCATGATTGTTTGTGGGGCATTGCTGTGTACAAATTGGCTGCTATGTTTGAATGCAAATATATAGTTACTACAATTTACAGTAAATCATACAAAACCCTTTAAGACCTTTCGATGACGTGATAAGGAGTTATATCAAATGGAACGATTAGTATGATTATTATTAAATCCCACTCAATTGTTCTCTCAATTCCATCCTCAGTGAGGAACAAGCATGAGGATATTTTGATTAAGGTAGGGAAAAATCTGTATAACTAGTTATTTCACCAATAATGCAAATGAGAGAGTACTTTGAAAGTACTATTCTTTTGAGTTTTTTTCCCCTTAATACAATTTTTTGAAAGTGTTTTCACAGCACATTACTGTTACAAGGCAACAAAATTATATGAGGACATAGCAGATCAATAGAAGTGCAAGGAAATGAAGCCGACATTGTGGAATGTTATATACAATTTAGACATTGTACTGACAAGTAGATAGAGATGGAAAGGAAGAGAGGGCATGAAGGATAATCCCGGGGTATCGATCAGCATGTCAAGTAGAGAGGCCAGGCAGCTAAATCCATTCTCATTGGAAAAACATGATTAAGAAGGAGAAAAAACAGGCTGCATATCTACAGCAGATAATCAGTATTTAAAAGAGTAAAATAGACGAACATTTCGGGCAGATTGATTGATTGTGGATTCCCACCTTGGGTTTCATTTCTGATTTCCAGCAATTGCAGTTTTTAAAAAATAAATTCCAATGATTAAAGCAGAAAATGAAATTATATTGGTGGTTAAGTGAACACTGTATATTTCATCTTAGTGTCTTTCTTTGAACAGAAGTTTTCCATCCTTTTCTCGGATACAAACTGACTTTGGTCATAATCTCATGGTGTTAACTTTTAGACCCTCATTTTATAAGGTTGTACACAATTTTGGAAAATTCTTCAATTCAATATTAATTTCAAAGTCATTCTTCTGCACTTCTCTAAGATTTCAAAAAGAAAGTTCTGACAATGACGTGGTTATATGACTAACTTCAATCATTGTCACATGAAAACCATTCCCTTTTTGACAGGAGTGTGCCTTCTGTTTTAATTGCCATCAATTGATCAAAGCTGGTACCAGGAAGACAGGTTTAAAAGAACTCCGGCTTCAAACCCAAAAAAGACCAAAATGTAGCTGTCTGAAGCCTTCCAGAGAAAATGCCTGCAATATTGAGGGCCATTTCAGGGATTGTTGGTAAGCATTTTCTCCAAAGCTCTCCAGATTTGAAAGTGTGAAGAGGGAAAGCTTTGCAACTTGCTTTACCATATCAGTCACCTACTATTAAAGGATGTTGACTGCAAATGGGTCACTCTTATATCATATTTACTTTAAATATGCATTTAAAGTGGTGTCATACTCCGGGTTGTCAAACGCTCTGAGACACTACCCTGCGTTAGAGGTGCTATATAAATGCAAGTTGTCGTTAAATAAATTCCTCACTATTTAAATAAAACCACAGAGGATTAAAAAGTTTTTTTTTGAGCATTAACAAAAAAAGGAAATAAAGACAAGGAAGGGGACTTTAACAAAATAGCCATGCATCACTGATTGAACCTGGATGCAGATGCAATCACTGTGTACGTTTTGAGAATGTTTATTGC